AACGATGTTTTGATTGTTTTAACTTTAGCTGGGATTTAAAGGAGACAATCTCCGGTCGGACAGTGCTAAGCAGAGGATTGCTTTGATAGCCAAGGATCTTGATTCATGAAGGATGAAGTTTGATTTAAAGATAGGATTCCAAATTTGTTCCTGCTGATGTCTGAAAGGTCGAAAGGGTTCAGATGTTCGCCATTACTCTCATATACAAGTACTTCACGTGTGATTTCATGTATTTGTCTGTGACCAGAGTAATGGAAGACAAAGCATCACAAGTGTCGAAAAGTCGAGATTATCTAACTGCTAGAGCTACTAACAATCTGAAGCATCACATCTGATCAATGTAAATCTTGATACTGACTTGATGGTTTGATTTTTATATTCTTTTCCTCTAATGTAAAAAGATTTTTTCTGGCTAATATCTTAAACTAAAGCGTGTTTTGTGATTCTTTTTCCCACTATTTTTGTTTGTATCGATTTACATTTTTCTATGAACAAAATGCTCTGTATAAAATGTATTGAGGCTTATATTTGAAGATCACACACACTTGGAGCAATTTTCACGTCTTACACGTTATTTGCTAATAAGTGGCGGACTCAAGATTCTGATTCAATGGTGACTTAATTTAACTACGATTTTTTAATTTTTTTTAAATAATAAACTACGTACTTCGTTACAAAGGGATGCGAAATGAAGGCCATTAGTTGACATGTTTAAACATGAATTTAGTGAAGTGATTTCGTTGGATTAATTGATGACGAGTTGTCTATAATTAAGAGTGTTACATATATAAAACTTCTTGAAAGAAGTAAACCCCAAGAAATACATAACCCATAAAACAATTATTTGGACCCCGGGAAAATAAAATTATAAGTGGGACCAGTTCTTATATTTTTTTGACTTTTAACAAAGCTTGCCCTTCACAACGTTGGAAAAAACAACCTCAATCCAGGAAACTTTTGTCTTACACCATACTTTTACCGTTGTAGGGTTTACATAAAATTGACTTATGGTACATTTCACTTATTAGGAAAATTAATGCTTTGATTTATTAAAATTCACGTAATAAAAATTGACAAAGTTTTTATCCACTCACCGTAATTACCTTTTTTATCCGAACTAAGCGTATACGAAGTTGCATAAGATTTGCTTGTTGGTTAGCTTGTCAATTCAATAGATGGCATTAACAAACTATAGCTTAGAAATTGTCTTCTTTCTGATGGATTTAAGATGAATTAACGATCATTGTTGCAATATTTATTGAAGATAGACGGAAGATACAAAATTTTGCAAATGAGAAATCGACACATACCTTTAGAGAAATCCAATGCAAATTTTTGGGAATCTGCATTTTAATTTCAATTGGATAATTTGTTTTAATTGCACTTAGTTTTTTACACTAGATATTTCTTCATATACGTCACACGCATCAAATATTTTTGTGGGGAATTAATATATATTTTAGTTACCCAATAATAGAAAGTTTGGTTATATTACCCCTATTTGATGTGGATTTATATCAGAATTTTAGTATATTTTTGTTAAAAGTTAATAAAATATGTAGTTGAAAAGTCGTGAGTTTCATAAAATATGTGATTAAAATTAATTGTTGATCATCAAAGATTTTACATTTTTAAACTCTGTCTGTAACTAACTAGAGGCCCGAGAAACAAATAGAAGATGTATACGAACGAGATATTCAACTTTGACTGCACCAAACAAGACGTCATACATTACTACTTCTACTTTGATTTTAGATTGAGGAAAAGTGTTTCTAATGATTAATTAAGGGTTTGATTTGCTCTGAATTGTATGATCCATTCTTCTAAAGAAATGGATTCTTCATTCTTGGATATAGTGGAAAAGAGGGCATGACCGATGTTGTTGTGGAATATCATAATTACTTTTGAATATTTCATTTTCAAGTATAGTAACATTATATATTATTAGCAGAGATTAATATCAATTTAGGTAGTAGTGAGTTCATTCATTGTCCAATGTATCACAATTCTATAGAACAATAAATTCAAGATGATGTCACCTCCTAGACTGGGTAGGATCTCTATTAATGATGAATAATATTACTCTTGCAAATATAAACATAAGATGAACATAGGAAAAAAAAAAAAAAAAAAAGAAAAAAAAAAAAAAAAAAAGAAAAAAAAAAAAAAAAAAAGAAAAAAAAAAAAAAAAAAAAAAAAAAAAAAAAAAGAACTAACTAATGCATTGTATCAAAATAAAAGTTGAATAGAGTATGTGCATGATTGGTAATTAACCTTTCGTGAACGAGTCATTTAAGTCAACGAGAGCCATACCCTTCCTCATTTCAGCTTCTAAATCTTTTACTCATTATACTTTATTCCCATTCTTCCTAATCTAAACCTCCCCTTTAACTTTTAATGTGCTGGCTTTACTTAAAATAGAAACTAGATTTATCACAAAAGTTAAGGTGGATTAGGGTCTTGTCATTTATCAAACAATAGTAAAAGCATTTAGAACCAATATAGTTGGATTCATACGGAATAACTTTCAAAATATAGTTGTAATGTGCCTTTAGCATCTTTCTTGATTTGCAATATATAAAGACGAAGACAAGCTTATATTGCTATAAATAGAAGTTGGTTTGTTTATTATAAGTGAAATGGTCTTGCTAATGTGACAGGCGCCAATCTGACGCCCCCATATTGGAGCCATATCAAAACCCTAAGTGAAAACTCAAAGGGCATATCTGTCAAAAGTAGAAAAAAGCAATACGAATAAACAAAATTCTCCACTTCAAAAAATACCTATGACAATAGGCAACCCTTCCATCCCTGTGAACAAACTCACTCCTCCACCCCAAAGAAAACGCTACAATGGCTCCCTTACCCATCCCCACCCCCCATTCCTATTCCTATTCCTATCCCTATCCCTATCCCCAATCTTTCAAGAGACCCCTTTTAATATTGAGCAATGTTATTAATGGATAATGATTATCATTGATGTACATGACACTAGAATTTTTGATGAATTTCATCTATTTATATAGCGCATGTTTGGTACTGATTCTTAGAATCAGTTTCTTGATCATTAAAAAAAAAGTGGGTTCCACCAATAAGTGAAGAAGTAAAAAAATGACGGCTGATCATGCTAAGTAACGATTAAAAAATGAATTTTTTGGTTTGACAAATCAGAACCAAACGGGGGCATAGTAATAGAACGAGTGCCACATTTTTCAATAAAGAAAGTTATATTTCTATTTTATTGAACAATGTTACAATGACTCCACCATAGCATGAAATATAGATTATCAACCGTTTAGATGAATATCATAATTTTATAATAACCCCACCCCAACCCAAAGAAAACCCTTATAATTGCACCCTTACGTACCCCACCCCGATAAACTAACTCCCTCCACCCACGAAGAAAACCCTCATTAAGACCCCTTGGCCCCTCCTCCCCACCCCAAGAAAGCCCCACATAAAGCTCCCATTTCTAATCCCATTTTATTGCTGATTGAAGCTCTAAATATATTCCGCCTAGCTTTTTTCTCCTGCATCTTCTTGTACATATATAAACAATTTCCGTTCTCTCTAGTACTAAAAAATTTCTCAGATTTTGCAAATGGGCAGTAATCCAGTTCCTCATGGCCTAACACAAGAAGAATTCGCAGTGCTAAATCCCATCATCCGCGCCTACCACACCTTCGATCAATTGCCAAAAACATGCACATCCCTCATATTGCAACGCATTGATGCACCGGCAGCACAAGTCTGGCCATTCTTGCGCCGTTTCGACTACCCGCAGAAGTACAAACACTTCATCAAGAGCTGCAACATAGTCGCCGGCGATGGTGGCATTGGCAGCATAAGGGAAGTAACCATCGTGTCTGGGCTGCCAGCGTCGACCAGCACCGAGAGGCTAGAGATTTTGGATGAAGAAAAATATATTTTGAGCTTTAGGGTTGTTGGGGG